GCTGTGTGGATTTTTATCTCGATTTACGTGCCATTCTGTTACTTTCTTCTTTCTTTCTTTACTTTTATTTTATAGAGATTTCTATCGCCTTTTTTTTCTTTCCCTGCGGATTACACAAATGTTTCTATTCTTTTCCGAATAACAGAGGAACAAGAGTGAGGTATATATCGTCTTGCGTAAAATTGCGGAAGAGCTAATCGGTAAGCGGAAGAAAGTAAGCTTTGCAAAGTTTAACGTGTTACTGTCAAGGTTAACGTTGTGAGATAACACCGCGATACTCGTATAAGTATGAGTGAGTGAGCGAGTGAATATATATTATCCCCTTCATCGGGGCCTAGAATAAGTCCTCTTAGAACATACATGTACAGAAGTGTGCTTCAGTGGCGTAGTTGCGTAGTTGAGAATAAATCGTCGTGCGTCGTTTAGATTTTTACCGAAGTTTTCTCGGCCAACATGTCATGTGACACAGCCGATAATGACCTTCTTTAGCCTTATCAGAGATAATGACGTGTACAGAAACTATCTTCCACGTCGAACCGGTCAGTTTATCTCTCTGCGATTGACGTATTCTCAATATTACTTTATTTCTCTCTGCAATCCCCAGGCCCGATAAGAAAAACTTTCAGTAAGTACAAACAATTTTATCCCCCGGCTAAAATTGTAAATTATACCGCGCGCGATATCCAACGGCAACTTTTATCGGTCCATTCCTTCTCACTTGGTTGTTTACTGCCAGAGCCTTCGATATTTTCCCGCGTATGCGTACACTGAGATACGTTCAATTTTTCTTTCTTAATTTAAATCGCCGACAAAAATACAACGAACGAGTGGCGTGAATAAACGTTCGCCGATAACTTTCAGCAAGAAAGAGGAGCGTAAATATGATATCTGCCAATCGTGTGACCGGCACATGTCGATCGCACATGATTAACAGAGATGTCATACTTACATCCCTTTTAAATGATTTTCTTCTGATATTGCTAAATTCATCCCTGAGGAGATTAAAGGCGATGAAATTTATCAAGCTGCGCATACTAATGTAATACCGAGCGAAGCCCGCTGGAAAAGGTAAGAGAATGCAGATATGCATCCGCAGATTCGCTCTATTCCTTTTTCCCCACCGACTTTGTCCCTTTCTCTCGTCTCCTTCATAAACATCCGGCCTTCCATATTCGACGAACCGACTCTCTCGAACTTGACAAACAGGTTAGACCTTCGGTCTAACGACCTGTGGACTTCCACACGTCGCGGAGATACGAGGAGGAGCCTTCTTCTTGCCTTGCGCGCAATGGCAAACAACAGTGACATGTCTGGCGAGATGGTTGCCGGGGCTCGTTGAAATCGCGAGTCCTCGGGGCTCATTGAATTTCCAGAGCGAAAAGGTACGAGTACGCGGGGAGGAGGGGGGAGGGTAGGCGTCTTACGCTACTTTCCATAGTCACGTCGGCGAGCGAGAAAATTGTCTCGGCAGGGCAAACACTCCACGGCTGTTTATCTTTGCCGCGAAATCCCCTCTCGTATCCGCCGTATGAACGAAAATACCTCGCGCGAACGTGCATCCGCGGTCGTGTGTGTATGTACGTGTGTGTGTGAAGGAGGGAGGGAGGACGTATGCGCGCGTGTGCTCTTCTATCGCGCGCGCTATACCGCGATCTCTCGATCCCGCGGGCCGTTTGCGCGGGATAATAAGGATCTTAATGGCTGGCGCGGATTGTTTAACCCGAGAATCATAACCGACCTCTCCCGCTCCTCCGTCGAGTTTTCGGCTGGAATTCACGCGTCTAATTTCCAGCCGGGTGTGTGCGCGGAGCTTTCGCGAAATACTTTCGCGATATTCGCCGCGTGTGCCGCCGCGAGAGAGCCGTGAGCCGAAATTTCATTGAAGCTTCGCGTAAACGCGTTTCGCCCAAAGTTCGCCGCCAGCGGACGGTAAGCGGGACGGTCGAGTCTCGCTTATCCGAGCTCTTCCGCGTATTTTCGCACGCGGCCGAGTTTCCCGCACACGGAAAGAAAAGTCTGGCCTGCCATTAATAAGAAAGAGGGAACAATTTCTGTTGAAGGGATTTTTCGGCCGAAGGGAACAGAATTTCCGCTTCTCATGTGACTCAAATGCAGTTCTCTCATAAGCAAAGATTCCGTTCCCTTCAGCCAAAACGCACTTCTCAGGTTGTTCCCTCCTGCCGGTTAATGCGGCCAGATATTTTTTGCCGTGCGGTAAATCGCGACAACGCGTCAAGGTCCTTCGTTTGCGCGCCGGCGTGAATCGTCATTATTGCACACCACGATCCCACGGATCCTGGGATCACCGGTGCGCAAGCGCCCCGCATTAGCGCTCCGAATGATTTTCTTCCGCCGGGGAGCTCATCTGGCAGCCACCAGCCCGCGTTACCCTAAGGCGTTTATTTTCCACTCGCTCGACGCTTAACGAAAATTACACGGGATTCTAATCGCTATTTTCGGCCGGCGCTCTCACCCTCTCGAGCACGGGATCTCGCTAATTATCTCGTCGCTAATTAGTCGCGACGTCGCACCGAGGGCTGCATTAATATTAACAATGGTAAAAAAGGAGATACGGCGCCGCCAATTAGCGGGGATAACGAGAGACGAACGGCTCTTCGAATGACGAAAGAGGGAGAGAGAGGTGGAGGGGAGGAAAGGGGAAGAAGGCTGCGACCAGAAGAGAACGAGGGTTCGAGGCTTGAGCCGCACGTGGGGATCGACCGCGAGGGAGAAACGGTAACCCTGACACAGTTGAGCAGTTCAGCTTGACCTCCGTGCATTCTGCATTATGCATGCAGACCTCCTAACCCCGTGGCGGATTCGCCTGCATTGGCCTGCAGCGCGGCAAGGTGTCGCCCGCACGTCGTACCGCGTCCTCGCCCGCGTATGCACGAGAAGGCGTCCGGCGCGCAATCGCGAATCACGGAACGGGAGGAATTCGTCGTTCGCGAATTCACGGTCGTACCTGTCGCGGGAAAAATCGTCGACGGCCGGTGGGAGAATTTCGAGAGAGAGAGAGAGAAAGAGAACACACACTTCATCAACTCGCTCGGCCGGTAGGACGTCAAGAGAAACGAACATCAGCCTTGCGTGCGAATCCATGCGGTCGGCTCTTTATATCAGGGGTATCGTTTTTTCTTCAGAATTGAATAAATATCCACTACGAGGCTTTGAATCCCGATGAAATCGTAATTGCTGAATATTATTGTACGCAGCTTGATAGAGCTGAGCGTCGCTTTGCTTGATTAATGTATTAAATGTTAAATGAAATAAAATTTTGTGTGAGCGTCAAGAAGCGACATTACTTACGGGTATCCCTGATGTATAACTGCCGTGACGTTACGATTGTAAACTCTTATTATCGAGAAATGCGACCCTGTAAGGCGACAGCCGCTGGCTGAGAATGAAGTCACTCGGCGGCGGCTGTCGAAGTATTAATACCCGAGGTGTATAGTCCGCGTACGGTATTAAAAATATCATCGCATGCATGTGTCGAGAATGAATTTGAAATAAATATGATAACGCGGCGTCGCCGCATTGTTCTCTCTCTCTCTCTCTTTCTTTCTCTTCTCTTGCTCCTCGGCGAGAATCTCCGCGAAATTTTTCATCGCGATCGACGACGCCACGCGAATGAGCCAGGTGACCTTCGCCGCGCGATGAATGCAACACGATGAAGAGAGATCCGCGGTAAATTCCACCGGCTGGAGAGGAGCGCTTGAATGTGGGGCGAGAAAGGGGGAGGGGGGACTACTTTTGCTTCGGTTTCGTGTTTACGCGCCGCAGCGAGCGGCGGCAGAAAGGAAGCGGAGAAAAATAATTACCTTCCGGCCCACCGACGACGGAACAAAGGGAAAGGAAGCGGATAGTCGACGAATGCTGAGGTTTCACCTTTTTCTCTCTCTCTCTCTCTCTCTCTCCGCACGGGAGAAGGACGCCCCGCGCGCTGCGCGTCCGCGATGTGGATAATATTCAGTTGGAACTCGGGGGGGAAACCTGCCAGGTTGCGGGTAACTTTCGGAGACCTCAGAAAGGTTTCTGACGCGGGGGATTGCAGGAGGGGGAGGAGGACGGTAAGGGAGGACTCGGTAAGTCGGTTTCGTCGCGCGCGCGCGCGCGCGGAGGTGAATGCCTCCTGCGAGTGGAAGCGCCGGTGAAATTGAATTGCAAGAAGACTCTATTTCTCTTTCTCGCGCGCAAACACGCTCCTACATCTTCCGCTCCTCTCTTTCTCCCTTCCTCCTCTTCTCCCTCCTCCCGCTCGCTTCCTTTTTGTCTTTCACTCTACTTCACAATCCCGCTTCTTCTCCGTCTTGGTTTCCACCGTCTCGTCCTCCGCTCCGAGAATTTGCTGTTGCTCCTCTCTCTCTCTCTCTCTCTCTCTCTCTCTTCTCCCCTCCCTTTCTTCTTTTCCCTTCACTCTCCATTCATCCCGTCTCTCCCTCTAGTGTTTGCGCAGTTGACTCGTGTCTCCATTTGTTTCATTAAATTACGCCGTACCCCCTTCCCCTCCCTCGCCGCGCTACCCTTCCATTCGCGACGAGATATATCCGCCATCCATTCGGCTTCGTCGTCAACCGGCAATCCTGCGAGCGCCTCCACCGTTCACCGCTCGCGATGCCGCTCGCGGTACTTTTCTTTCAAAATAGAGAGAACGCGCTCGTGGGGAACAAGAAGAAGAGAGCCTCCATTACGATCCCATCCGACCCTTCAACCCTTTCTTACAAATTTAATGCCCCCTTCCCCCTTTTCCCTCTTTCCTACGCCTTTCCTACGCTCTCTATGTGGCGAAAGGCAGCTCCCGATGTATTAGCGAACGGCCACATTTACTGGCTGGCTTTATGGAAAAACATACGTCCCTCGGCGGAGAGTGCTCGTTAAGGGTAAAAGAAGCAGCAGCAGCAGCAGGCGAGGGAAGAACGAGGGTGGCCGGAGGGGGCGAAACAATAGGAGTCGGCATTCTTGCCGCGAAGTGCGCGCATTAATTTGCATTCTCCACTTACATTTACCCGGTGCCGCCGTAATTCCATCGGAGGGAGTCCCCGTGCCACCCTCCCCCCTCTCGATGAATGGTAACGCTGCAAAAACATTTAAAAGCTCGCGCACCAGCCGAAGAATTATTCGTTATTATTGCGCGCCTCCATGGCGAAAATGATTGCGCGCTCTCTCTCTCTCTTTATCTCTCGCTCTCTCTCATTCCCTGCCGCTCTCGCTTTCTCTCTCGTAGGGCTGGTAACCTCGCTGCCGGCGCGGCATATCGAGTGGCCGGCGGACAGAAATTCATAAATAATTGAAATAATCGCATGTCCCTGTAAACGTCCGGCAATTGCGTAATGTCTCGTAATTGGTGATAAACAGCGTTGAGTGTTATTATTTGCGATATTACACATTTTGCCGATCGATCGAGCGCCGGCATCATTCCGGCGAATAGCGCGGAAGAGGAGAACGTGAGTTGCGCGCTTTTGTCACGCGGAAACGTAAGTCGAACGCGCGATAATTCGGATACAAAACGGGCTCGAGTATCCTCGAACAACTTTCGGCTCGTTCTGTCATTCGCGTATTAAAATAAACAGTCACGAAGAATAACGCTTTCTCGCGGCCGTGGCGGTTATTATTATAATTATAATTAATATTATATTATTATTATTATTATACACGGTGTGCGTGCAGAGCCCGCTTTGTGCCGACTGTAACGTATTCTGGGGTATTTGTCGCGCGAAACAAGATACGCAAAAGACTCTCGTCCCGTCCCTCCTCGGCGAGTTCGCGGGGGCAACTTTCCAGCGCGAGGCGCGACAATGGGATCCGCCTTCCGCTCTGTTGAAAACGCGCATTAATTTTCCGCGTGCGTCGACGCTGCGGTAATCTCATCAGAGATACCACCTGGATGCGCCGTGAAAGCACGTCGCGATGTAAACGCGTGCGTGCGTGCGTTAGTGAGCGCACGTAAGTCCCGTCGGGTGCGCGGACGTCACCCGGGCTACAAAATGCGAGCGGTCGTGGGTGCACTTGTCCTACGAAATGTCGTTCTCCGTTTTGCACACTCGGATAATTCGCACTTTTATACTTTTCTACTCTCTTTTTCTCTTCCGCCCATTGTATCTCTCTCTTTCTCTCTCTCTCTCTCTTTCTCTCTCGGATTTTATGATTTAACGTTAATATGGATGATGTGACACAGATAAACAGTTAGTAAAATTTTCGATCTTCTTATCTGTGTATGTTATGATTTACGCTATGTACATGCTCAACGTTTGTATGTTTTTCAGATATTTTGATTCATTTGCATATGCAATTTGTCTTATATTATCATACGCGCTTGAGTTAATGTTTCAATGTTATAATTTTGTTTGTACACATTCTCTATTATCGGTACGCTTGAGGGAACATTTCGAGAACGCCTAATAAATGTAGCTCTTTCTCTCTCTCTTTCTTTTGTCTTTTATTCGTCGCGGTCGAACCAGTTAGCGGCCGCATAAATGCAAATTGTCGCGTATGCAAATTGCACGTTTGTACTAGCACGTAGCGCTCTTACAATGGTTTATAAGAGACGCGGGAAAACCTCCCCGTCGTCGACTTCGGGTGAAATTCGCCAAATTCGCGAAACGGGTAAAAAGAAGAGGAGGAAAAAAGGGAAAACGAGAGGGAGAGAGAGAGATAGAAGAGGAGGAGGAAAGAAAAATAATTTTAACGCAACTGCCGACTTCCGCCGATACGCGAGCCAAGGCCGTCCGTCAGCCGCTTATGGTGAAACCGACCGTAAGATGTCCCCCTCGGTTAACGCTCGGCTTGCTCGCCAACGTAACGCGGCGTTACGTTACGAAAAGACCGCGGTTGCAGACCAAACAAGCCGTATAACGTCATCTTTTCATTCGCGAATCTTATTTAGCTGGCGGGCTAAAAGGCCGCGTTTGATAAAAAAAAAGAGCCCACCGCGCGCGCGGTTAAGCGCGTCGGCGTGCGCGCGGACTGCGCCGCAATTGCGTTGCGGCTCCTTTCTTTCGGCTTCTCGATGCAATTTACGCCCGGCGCGCGCGCGCGCGTATTTCTGTATGTGTGTGTAAGTGTATACGCACGCGTACGTGTGCGTGCGTGTATGCATGCGTGTGTTTAACGCTGCTACGCCGGTGGAGGTAATCTAATCCGACTTAATCAGAGATAGTACTTTTCGCGAGTGCGTGGTTGAAAAAAAAAAGGAAGAGAGAGAGAGAGAGAGAAAGAAGGGGGGAGGAAGCAGGGGCGGGGAAAAAAAGGACAGAAGGGACGTGGAAGCGAAACGCGGAGGCTCGAAGCGGCACTTGGCCTGAAAACGTCGAATTGCAGCGGCCCGCGTTCCCCGGGCGCCACCGCGCAAACGAGAGAGAAGGAACAGCGTGTCGGTAGGCTCGCACAAGCGCGCGCAACAAACGTCGACGCTCGCGACTTCGCCTCTCGCGAGCCCGGCTGAAGCTCGATGCGAAAAGAGGCGAGTAAAACGCGCCGCGTTTTCCGCGTTTCGTCTCGACGGAAGGGCCGACGCGCGCGCGTATCGGCTTCGTAAAAATCCCACCGACGAAATTACGTAGTAGCGCGCGCGCAAGGAAGAGAACGGAATATACAAGCGAGGTTCTACACCACCAGGTGTGGTGTTAGCTTCGCACAGCGCGATTTTTACGCGCACTTTCGTTGGGTTTATTGACGAGCGAATAAATTTCGCGGGAAAGAGCGGAGAGGGGGAGGAGGGAGGGAATCGCGAGTGTTTTCCTCGGCGGACGAGGTCGTACGTCGGCGTCTTGCCTGTTCTCTCTCTTTCTCTCTCTCTCTCTCTCTCTCCTCCGAACGACCGAGGGCGAGTCGCGCGCAGGTGCGATATGGAGAAATGCGTCGACGTAATTTACGAGAGTGCTTTTTCTTCATTCATCGAATCAGAGCCGGCGCTCGAGAGAGGCACATCCGCTACGGCTTCGACGGACGGTAGCGCGCGAGCACACGGTCCGCGCTTCGAGTACCGGCGGCCGCGTTTCGTAACGCGTTAAATCTATTTGCGAGGGAGGCAAACAATAACACGGCACAACGGCGCATCTGATGAACGATTCTGTTTGATTCGTGTTGCTCCGTGCGCGCGCATTTTGGCGAATTACGCGAGGACAGCGCGGGATTTAATGGGGGTAGTAAATGTAGCTTGGAATTAAAATTCTCACTTCGATACGAGCTATCGACGCGATAATAGAGGAGAAGGTGGTGTTGCGTGGCCCTTGTAGGTATTACGGCTCCTTTTAGCATTTCCATTGTTAAGTGACGAATTACAGCGGGACTACACTGAGAAAAGTTACCGTCGGCGCGCGCGCGCTTATTTATGTATGTGTAACATTTTACACATTTTTATAAAAACGTCCTAGATAATAAATATTCTATTATTTTGAGTTTCGAATCGATTGAACGGCACTTTGATGAATATAATCATGAAGCTTTCAATATAAAATATTGATTATTAACAAAGTTATTGTACAAAATGTAAGAGAGAGGCCGTAATACCACTTTCTCCCCTATCACTCGCGATTTCTTTCAATGGATGCGTTCAGAAATCTATCTGACGAATAGAGTAATATTTAATTGACCAATCAAGGTAAAAAAAAAAGCAAAGATTCCTTTATCATAATTAATTAACAACGCTACTCCACCCGACGAATAGGATTTCTGAACGCGCCCATCGTATCTTCCGCGTAAACCTCCCTCGCCTTTGTGACCGCTTCTTCGTTCTCCATGCGAGACAAAGGAGAGAAAAAGAGAGAGAGAGAGAGGGAGAGAGTTCCGTGTAGAAGGAGCGGCGAAATACCGTTGGCGTTCACCGCTCCCGCGGTTCTGCTCCTCCGCGAGAGGAATTTTTTTTTCCTGAGCTTCTTAATTATGAAGTCGCGGCCTTTTAATTACCGTCGGTAATTGCAAGAGCAGGGCGCAGTCCACCGCAGCCCGCAGATGCGTCACCTGCGTGCGACGAAAAATAGTATCCGAGGGGAGGGGGAGGTTCAGCTTTCGCTCGCGGGCGAGCTTGCAAAAAGTCAGACCGGAAGAGAAATTAGTTGTCAGCCGCAGCGCGGCATAGACAGGGAGCGAAAGCGACGGTCTGAGAGGGCCGGAGCGGGGGTTCGAATCGGGGGGGGGGACAGGAGGGGGTGGTTGGTCGAGACGGTGAAGGAGGGCGGCTCAAAAGCCCCGGGCTTCTCGCGTGATTTATGCGAGATTCCAGCGATGCCGCGTGCTAAAAAAGAAAACAGCCCCGCGCTGTGCGCCACCAACCCTCCCCGGCTCGTCGTACTCACTCACCCACCTACCCGCCCACTCCCCCCGGCTCCCACGAGTCGTCTGGAAATGGAAATGGCCGGCTCGCATCGTTCCGCTGCGCTGAAAATCTCCCGCTTTTCCAAGGTATTTTCCCATGGAACGGGAGAAAGAACGGCGGAGGAAGAGGTGACCCCGGCTGGCCGGCTCGCGCCTCCCGAAGTGATTTGCCGAGACACGGTAATTAATGCTAATAGAAAAATTGTCGGGACGAGCGAGGTAGGTGGGCCTGGAATTTTCAACGACGTGACGCGCGCTCACGAAGGCGACCCTTTATGTTATGAAGGATATAAACACCCGGGATGAAACAGCCTCGCTCCTCGTCCTGCCTCGGTTCTCACACACACACTCTCTCTCTCTCTCTCTTTCTCTCCTTTGAGATACTTTTCCGCCTCTCATGACATTTACACGCATGGACATAACTAGGATTTCGGCGGAAGGCAAACATTTATTTTCACGCAAAACTAATTAAGTCACTTATATTAAAGTCAGTCTTCGTGGATTCTCCGTAAGCTTTCTTGATATCTATTCTTCCAGTTTCTTTCTTTTTGCGAGCACCATTTTTCTGTATACACTTAGTGCACACAGAGTACTGAGACGATTTTCTGACATTGCTGAGCGCAACAAAAAAAGGTTTCACCTTTCGCAACATACTAAAAGACCTTTCAATGGCGCTCGTTGTGCAAAGAATGTCTGGTGATGAAATAGAGAAATTTTCGTTACATTCATTTCTATAAAGCTAATACTTCATCGTTAGTTTTTAAGCACAGAACATGTACTATAGCCTTCGGTAGAACGTAAATTGATAATGTATCAGTTACATTTCTCTCCCTACTTCTGTGTGCTTTTCATAATTCAATTATTTTCCCTTGCCAAAATTTAGGTAAGGGGGGCGAACCGTCTCCCGGTCCTTTGCGTGCGCTCACATGTTTCTTACATTCCTCATCTAATTTATTATCGTTTCCTTCGTTTTGCAAACAGCACGAAGAGACTCGCGCGTTGCGAGAAGAAACGTCGCGACTCCCGTCGTATTCCCTTCGTCCCAGATCCCAGAGTTTGCTCCATCTGTGCCGATTGCACAGCAGCCATTACAGCCTGATTATCGGAAACGAGGATTCGGCTGAATCAGAAGTCTTGCGAAATTCTCGACGTGTGCGGCATAAGCGTCGAATAAAACGCTCCATGTCGTCGTGAGGCGTTCCGTTACGCGGTCCGGGACGCGTGAGATTGCTCGCGCGTAGAGCCGCGTGTGTGTGTGTGTGTGTGTGACGCTCGACACGCTCAGGGCAACGGCACGATTGTGCTCGCGATTAATTTCTATCATATCGATCCCGCGCCGGAAGAGCGTACTCGGTACGGCGGTAGCACTTACGCGAAGACCGCGCGGACACGCGCGCTCCGATCGTTATAAAGCTACGTTCACACTCGAGCACGCATAGGGCGGCGTCGGGTGACGCAGGGTGGCGCAGGGAGGGTGATATCGCGGACATGCGTGGCCGAGGATGTCCGAGTGTGACGACGGCTTAAGACTACGTCGGGCGTGAGCGCAAGCGATTGCGTCGTTGTTGCGGCGATCACAGTATTGTCCCCCCGTGCGGCCGATTGATCGATTAATTAATTACGGGACGATGGTAGGTTTGCGGAGTCAATATTGAATTCACGGTTAATGCGTTTCGGGCGACACGGGTCGGTCGTGGGGGAAATCCGGCGCGAAGTGCGCGAGGCGGCCGCGCGTCTGATCTCCCCCGCATTTTAATCATACATTTAAAAGCGAATGATTTAATGTTTCACGCGGCCGTATAATTTCATCCGCTCGTCGATATGCAGCGGCTCGCACCGGCCGTTTTAATCAATTTATTCCTCGCGGCCAACCCCGGCGAGATGATATCTCTCGCGCGAGCTCAGCGATAGATCCGCGGTAGATACCTCACCGTTGATTTCGCCGATAAGTACGGAGAGCGAGGGGCGCAAATTGCGTGGGGACGAGTCGAGTGGAGTCACGGCTAAATACGCGCAGGCGAAAGTAGAGGAGGGGAGAGGCAGGTACACCTTACATTATTGCGTAACAGGCAAAATTTCCTACGACACACAGAGCCTACGGTCATGCTCGCGACGTCGGTGACCGTCGGATTGGCGGAAGGGCGGCGCAAATCGCTCTTATACCGCGGGAAGATACCGCAAATCACGCGACGTGAGCGCAATTTATCGGCGCTTTCGCGTCTCGTGTAATTACGCGATCCAATTGCTCCCGTACGTATCGATGAAATATCGTATTTTTATGCGACACTCGCACGTGCTTCGTCACGCACACACACGTGCATCATGTACACGCGCGCGTATGTACACACGACGCGCGTTTCCCCTTCCGATTAATCCGCCAACACCGCGCGCGTCAACGACACCATGCAAGGCACCAGAGGTTAGAGAGACAGAGACATGATTTTTCAATTTTCCGCCGCCGAGATAGAAGTGGTGAAAGTGCACTACCCCGCATTGTTTCGTGATGGACGAGCTCGTCGTTCGCCGAGAGTGTCAGGTGCGAGTAATTCGACATTCTCCCGGAGAAATTGTATCTGCGGATATTAATTCGGATATCAATTCGGAAGAAAGGTGGCCCTCCGAGCTGGAGCTGCGAATCTCTCTCTGAGCGAGATGTGATTATCGATTGCTGTGTCACCGTCTCGGAGAGTGAGAAAGAAGGATAGATAGATAGACAGAGAGAGAGAGAGAGAGAGAGAGAACATTATTAATGTCGTTCCGTGACTTCCGCGGATAAAAGGAAAAGGAACACCTCTTTTCGTTTCCAGGTCACGGTACGACATCATCGGAGAATCATCGAGCGAAATTGATCAGTGGATCTGCGCGACGAAGGCTGCTATATCGCGTTCGATTGCGATAAAAGCCGGAGAGCACGAAAAACGGCGAGTATGCGCGTGCAAGCGAGAATCCTCGCGGTCCTAGAGTGGCCGAAGAGTGATCCTCGGATGGCTCTCTCTCTCTCTCTCTCTTTCTTTCTTTCTTTCTCTCTTCCTCCTTCCCTTCTCTCTCGCGTTTTATGTCGCTGGAAGAAAGTGCGAAGGTACGTGAAGCGACGAGCTCGTCGTCGTTCGAAGGGGCCGCGGCGGGTCGTGAACGCGCATAACGCGCGGGCACTTGTACTTAGTCGAGGAGAAAATCAAGACGAGCAACGTCGGCGCGATTTTACGGCGTAGGCGTTCGTGGCGTGGGTTTCCCGGGCGCGTTCGCGCGCGGGATTAGACGAGAAGGAGAGCCGTTCAACGTACGCGTTACGACCGGCGGCCCCTTCGCTCTTCCTCTCTCGCGAAACGGTGCAACGAACTCTCCGTAAAAAATCCAGCACGAGAGTATATATCATTGCGCGCGCGGGTACACTCGTAAGAAAAGCCGCGATACGTCGCATCGATTCGCCGTGCGCGGGAGGACTTTTACGACTCTCTCTCTCTCTCTCTCTCTCTCTCGTGCGTGATCACGCGCGCCAGTACGAGGCCAGGCAAAGCCGTCGCGGTAGATCATCGGCCGATCGGTGGCGATTTCCGTCGCGGGGGGGAGAGGGGCTAGTTCGTCGTTTGCGAAACGCGATTCGGGATAGAGTCCGCTTCACACTTCGAGCGCTTCGAAACGCTTAAAGAAAGAATATACGATCGGTCGGCGCTTCGAAGCGTGAAATAAACCCTGGACTGAGAGAAAGATATGTGAAAATACTGTAACTGTAATCATCATGGTAAAGGGATAATTACACATCAGGAGGAGCAATTTTCTAGCAAGTGTTATTATAGCGTAAGCGATAATAATCTTACTATATATATGTTGTCACCGCTATTTTTCTGGTTAGAATGAATAAAAAAGGTTATTTGATCGGCACCGATGAAATAACTAGAAATTCTCTCGGTGTAGTCTTGATTCGATCGGAATTTCTACCTGGGATTTATCAAATCGCACGACACGCAGCGTTATCGGACCGACGAAACGCACCCCCTCGCCTTTCTCCCCCCGTACCGACGGCTCTCGACGCGCCGATCGTGTCCGCGCTTCTCTCGACGAGGCGAATCAACGTATCGGCCCGCTTTCATCGCGCGCACCCGCACGTCGCCGGCTCCGTGTACACGTAATGTGTATACCGCGGATGATGTATGGTCATCACATGGGGCATGAATGAAGAAAGTCGAAACGCGGGCAATGATCTGGAGTTGATATAGCGCAATCGGTATAGTTTGTACATCTGAGACTGAATGATCGGATGACGTTTGTTACAGAGTTGATGGTACAACAATAATGTTCTCTGCCCTCTCCAGTCCGGATATAACAATATATATATATATATACATATACACACACACACACACATATATAGTTATATATGTATATATATATATATATATATACATATTGTGAAAACTGAAGTACGTTACTCTTTACTCGCTACCCGAGCGAGGGGAGCTCGCGGCGACGCTCGCCCGCTCGCTCGCTCGCTCGTATACGAACGAGAGGCGTGTCCCGTTCGCCATTCGTCGGTCTCAAAACCAAGTCTCAAACAAGACACAAAACGACGAACGAAAGACGTAAGCACGTAAGCGAACAAATCATCGAAAGTATATATATACGGCAATTTCAAGTCTCTCGACAATAACGTTGCAACGCTTCAAAAACGTATTGTGTGCCCACGGGGCTCCGCTCCGCTCCGCTCTGCCTGGCTGGCCGGTGGTACGAGCTCGCTCTATGCAAATCGTATGTAACATTCAGATCGCCAAGTGATCTGTATTCGAGAAGAAAACGCGAGACTCCTCGGCGATCTCCTCCCCGCCGACGCCATCGACGGTGCTCGCTCGCGCGTTCAATCTCGCGAGCTGCACACGTAGGAAGCTCTACGCGTAGACATCGATCTGCCGCGAGACGGTACTTCATTATCGTAGCCGGCATTGTCCGGCCACCTATCAATCGTCTCTAACAAAGTGCAAAGATAAACAGCGACGTGCAAAGGGCGAATTCAGAGGTATAACTGTTTATTCACAGCGGAAGGACGAGGGACGCGCGCGCGCGCGCGTTACGTCACCCTATTGCTTGTTCACGCTCCAATTCGCGATTATGTAACGTTAAATCGGGAAATTAAAAAAAAAAGAGAGGAGTCTCGGAAGTGCAAATTTCTTTCCGCGGTAGTGAGCGCGCGCGTCGAATGAACTGCGCGCGAGCGGGGCGCGCGACGATTTCAGTTGATTTCCAGCCGAAAAAATTGAAAGAATATTTCGCGAAGAAAGAGAGAGAGAGAGTGAGAGAGAGAGTGATCTTTCACTCTCTCCCTCCCTCTCTCTCTCTTCGTTTCTCGCTTTTTTTGTCCCTCCATCAAACGACAATCCGGATACGTCGTATTATCCCGCGTCATTCGTATCTCGCATTCGTTATCTCGTAGCGTACGCATCGCGCAATAATAGCAAAATTAAAGCGTGCTATTGCAGGAAACTCTCTCTCGATAAGACGATGTGCTTCGTGGGAGTGTTAATGGCGTCGGCGGGCGTGCTTGCGATTTTATGCATCGATTGCTCGAGCGTATCCGAAAAAGCGAAGCGAAACGGGACTTTTCGCTCGATGTGACGTCGAGCGATTCTCTCTCGGAACCTGTCGCTTAAATTGTCGCGATAGCAGCTCTGCCGATACCAGAGGCGTAGCGTTCTCGAGCAGTGCCCCCGTCTTTAACTCACGGATATAGAGAGCAGAGGGTGTCGTCCGATATCGTACCGTGTCGCCTACCTTCTTCTCCCATTGGAGAACGTAGGGCACTGGGTGCTCACCGGGGAACTCTACGTGACAGTTGAAGACAACGCTCTCCCCGAGGATAGCCGTAATGTGCACCGCGTCCTGTTGGCAGAGTCCTGAAACAAAAGTGCCGTTGCTATATAGCGATGACAGATACCTCCAAGTTAGGCAGGGAGAAAACTCCCGCGGAGTGGGACTGATTCTGGAAAAAAAAAACGAAGACCCGACAATACGCGTTTTCGTCGGAAATTTCGTGGAAAGTATTTAATCGGTGATATTAATTACGCTGGTCAACAACAGAAATTATATCCTGCATATAGAAAAATATATACTGCATTCAAATAAATATTACTTGTTTCAAGTATTGTTGTATGAGTTTATATGTCCGCAAGTATATCATAAGTTCATCGCAAACATTAAATTTATTCAAAATATATTCTAAATCCTAGTAAGTTTAGCACTTCAGTCAAGAATATTAAATTAAAACGCTAAAACTACAACTTCGATTTAAATATTCAAATTAATTTAACTTCCTTCCGATAAAGTTGATAATATTTTGGAAACAAGGACAAATGCTTCTTTTAAGTAAATAATAATGAGCTTTTCTAATGTTTGTGATAAGTATCTTTTAATACTATTATCGAGGCGATATTCCTTATTCCAGAGATAGCCATTGCTTAAAAGGAGAGAAATTAACTGAATAATTATTTTTCTTCTCGCAGTATAATTAATATTTTTCTTTGTGTGGATCCAAACCGTCAATTCTAGTGAATTTTATGCGGTTGATCACAAATACAACAATTAAAATCACA